TGATTTTTGGGGATGCTGATGTCGTTGCTGGCGCTGAACGCAATGACTTATCTCTGCTTGGTAGGGTGGTTGGCCCTACTCCTCCGATTTGTCATCTCCAAACAACAATGGGACGGTTAGGGGGTGCCGCGGTGCCATCTCTGTTCTTTCGGCTGCGAAAGGGCTATTCCAGTTTGTCTTTCCGACGGAGACCGATATGGACACAGTGCTCAAGCAATTGCCTTGGTTCCTATCCAAATTTCTGGTTAACCTGGCCCCATGGGTGGAGGTTACTCCGACAGTTGCAAACCAGCTATGGCGAATCCCTCTCGATCTGCAATTCTGGGACATCCCTCCCCAGTGTTGCACGCGGAAAATGGCATCACTCCTGGGCTTGGCTTTGGGGAAGAGCGATTTGGCTGTGCATCGCATCCCGGGCTTAGGAGAACTCTACCTCCGAGCGAGGGTTTGGCTTGATGGTCGGCTTCCTCTGCCGGTCTCGGTTCCTGCCTCTCACGATAAGGGAGACATAGGGTTGTTCACGGCGGCTGTCACCTACAAACGCCTTCCCCAGTTCTGCTACCTGTGTGGTATCCTAGGCCATATTGGGCAACACTGCCCCCGACGCGAGGACCTTGCAGGCTCTGTGACACCTTATGGCAAGCACCTGGTTGCGACGAAGTCCGGCCGGAAGCTTCTGAGGCGGCAACACAGAGGAAACCGTCTGCTCAACGGTCGCTGCTGCTCATGGCGAATCAGGGGCAGTCGGATTCGGCTTCTGCTGAGAAGACCAGGCCTTTCCTGCTTGCTGGGGACAATATGCTCTCGCCACAGAACCTACCATGGAAAGGGGTCTGGAGAAACCGCCTGCAACTCCGTTGATCAGACATAGGGGGTTGCTGACCGAGTCCACAAACTTTGGCACACTAAAGAAAGCTTGCTTCGAGCAGATGGATATTTCGAACAACAATGAGGATTGTGATGTGGTGGAGACAACCAGCCCAAACTGGTCCCACCCGGCGCCATGAGTTTAATTGCTTGGAATTGTCGGGGACTTGGCTCACCCTTGACGATTCCCTCTCTGTTTGGAGCTGTATGTAGGTTTTCCCCTTCTGTTATCTTCCTTAGTGAAACCAAGCATGACAATGACTATGTAAATAAGAAACTCATGCGCCTGGGGTTCCATTTTGTCCATTGTGTCTCCCCTGTTGGTACAGCACGCGGCTTAGTAGTAGCATGCTCATCTAATGTTCTGTGTCGGGTTTTAGGTCAGGCTGAGTTTTTCTTGTTTGTTGAACTTCAGCATGTGGTTTGGGGTTTGTTAGAAGTCCTCTTTGTTCATCTCAGTAGTGATGTAAATATCCGTCAAGATTAGTTTAATGAACTTATTAATTTGCTTTCGTCTTGTGCATTACCAAAAGTAGTCATAGGTGACTTTAACTGTCTTCTTCAATCCAATGAGAAGATGGGCGGCAGACCACCCTCCTTCCATGTGATGGAAGCCTTTCGTGCCTTTATTGATGTTGTAGGTTTGTTTGATTTGGGATTCAAAGAACCTCCGTTTACATGGTCTAATCGTCAAGGATTATCAACTCACATTATAGAGCGATTGGACAGAGCATTAGTCACTGATAGACTCATGTCTTTTTGGCCTCTTATGCAGATTACCCACCTCTCAAACCTTGGTTCGGACCACAGGATCATCTTGCTGCAATTGATTCCTGGTGAAGGGAAAGGGAAGCCGCGGTTCCATTATGATCGATATTGGTATACCCTAATACCAATTTCCCGTTGCCTACCTCTAATTACACCTTTCTCAACTACGTATGTATAGCAGAAACATTGATACAGTATGTCGTTTAGAGAAGTCTACAGGCAGATTTTTATTAATTGAGAAAGAAAAGTTACATTATCCTTTACATCACCACATATATATATTACATACAAACTACCTATACAGTACCTAAATAATACAAATTTACAACTAGGTCCTCGTCATTTCCTCCTTGGACAACTCCCCCCGCAAGCTGGCGCGTATATGTCAAGACGATCCAGCTTGGCCTGCAACTGATGGAAAACATGAACTGGAAGAGACTTTGTAAACATATCAGCTAGCTGGTTAGCAGAGGAAACATGCAAAACTTTAATCACTCCATCTAGAATCCTATCTCGAATAACATGATAGTCAATTTCGATATGTTTTGTTCGTTCATGATTAACTGGATTGTCAGCAAGTTTGATAGCAAACAGACTATCACAATATATGGGAGTAGGAGACGAGAAGCAAATATGCAAATCATTCAGAACATATCTGAGCCACATGATTTCACAGGTTAAACTGGCCATTGCTCTATATTCAGCTTCAGCTGAAGAGCGAGAAACAGTTTTCTGTTTCTTTGAACGCCAACTAATTAACGAATTCCCTAACAGAACACAAAACCCTGTTGTAGACCTGCGTGTGTCTGGACAACCAGCCCAATCACTATCACAGAAAGCATTCAATTTCAGTTCAGAAGCAGCAGAAAAGAAAAGTCCTTGACCTGCAGTGCCTTTGATGTAACGCAAAACGCGTTCAGCAGCTTGCATATGAAGGTCAGTGGGACTGTGTGTAAATTGACTTAATTGATGAACTGAATAGGCTAAATCAGGACGAGTATTGCAAAGATAGAGTAGTCGACCTACCAGACGCTTATAAACAGAAGGGTCAGAAAGTGCATTACCAGAAGTAGCAGAAAGCTTAGTACATGGAACAGAAGGAGAATCACAAGGTTCTGCACCAAGAAAACCATAATCGGTTAACAAGTCTAATGCAAATTTTCTTTGATATAACAAAATGCCCTTCTCTGTCCTAGCAATTTCTAGTCCAAGAAAAAATTTCAATTCACCAAGATCCTTGATAGTAAAGGTCTGATCTAGTTGGTGTTTGAGATTGGTAATGGCTTGGAGATCATTTCCTGCCAAAATAATGTCGTCAACATACACAAGTGCAATGGTAAACGATTTATCAAGGCTGCGAACAAACATAGAATAGTCTGCTTTAGACTGTTTGTAACCAGCTGAAGTTAAAAAATTAGAGAGTTTAATATTCCATTGACGACTGGCTTGTTTTAACCCATAGATAGATTTGTTAAGACGACATACAAGATTCTTAAAACCTGGAGGTACAACCAGACCTGGAGGAATCTTCATGTAGACCTCTTCATCAAGGTCTCCATGAAGAAAAGCTGTATTAACATCAAGTTGGTGCATGCCAATTGTTAATAGCAGCTAAGGACAAGACAAGACGAACAGTGGTGTGTTTAACAACAGGAGCAAAGGTTTCTAAATAGTCTAGACCAGGAGTTTGAGTGTACTCCTTGGCTACTAAACGAGATTTAAACCTTTCTATTTCACCATTTGAAAGAAATTTAATTTTGAATACCCACATATTCCCTATAGCAACCTTACCATCAGGTAATTCAACAATGGTCCATGTATTGGTTTTATCTAAGGAAGCCAACTCAGAGTTGCAAGCTTCTGACCACCTAGGATCCTTAATAGCTTCTTTATAGGATCTAGGTTCTAAAATGGCAGAACTGGCCAGAATATACTTCTTGTATTCTGGACTGAGATTATCCAAAGACATAACTTGAGATAGAGGATATGTAACTCCATCACACTCAACAGCACAAATATAAACATTAAGTTTCTTAGGACGTACCTTAACACGAGGAGGCCTCGCATAAGGAGGAGGTTCTACAGCTTGAATGATATCAACTAGATCTAGGGGTTCTTCTGGTAATATGGAAGATGAATGTAATGCCTCATTAGAAGAAGGCAGAGGAAAATTAGGAATCAAAGGAGAATGTGAAGTAGAGGCAGTATTAGGAACAACTGTTTCCTGAACTTGAATGCAGGGAAAACAGAAATCGAAGTCAAGTGTAGAGCTGGAAGAAGCAAAAGGAAAAACATGCTCATGAAAAACAGTGTCCCTTGAGTTAAAAATGTTGTGGGAAACTAAATTGTAGAGCCTATGCCCTTTAACAGTGTTAAGGAAACCTAAAAAGACACAAGGATCAGCCCTTGGAGCAAATTTGGGTCTGTTATGTTGCAAAGTTGAAGCAAAAACTAGACAACCGAAAACCCTGAATTCATTATAAGCAGGTTTAGCATGAAATAATAATTCATATGGAGATAAATTCTGTAAAAGGGGAGATGTCATTCTATTAATTAAGAAAACAAAATGTAAGACTGCAAACCCCCAGAAAGTGATTGGAAATGAAGCTTGAAACATAAGAGCACGTGCAACAGCCAATATGTGTTGATGTTTCCTCTCAACACGACCATTTTGTTGAGAGGAAGCTACACAAGTTGTCTGGTGTACAATACCAAATTCCTTGTAAAAGGAAGGAATATTGAATTCTTGACCATTATCAGTCCTTATTGTTTTGATTTTAGATGAGAATTGAGTGTTAACAAAAGCTGGCAGATCTAACATAATTTGCCGAGCTTCACCTTTTGTTTTCAGTAAATAAACCCAAGTGTGTCTTGAAAAATCATCAACACAAGTGAGAAAATACCGAAACCCATCGATAGTAGGAGTCTGATATGGACCCCATATATCTAAATGAAGTAAATCAAAAGGTTTAAGAGCATGAGAGGAACTTGAAGGAAAAGGAAGACGCTTTTGTTTTGCCAAAGGACATACAGTACAAGGAGTTTTATTATGACTGATAGAAGGTTTAACATCCTTGTCTAAGAACTGGGATAAAGGAATAGCTGTATGGCCTAGCCTGTAGTGCCAAACATCAAAAGGAACATAGTCTGTATTGAAACAAACATTACAAACAGATAGTTGAGACTTAGGAAGAGGCATGTTGAGATGATAGAGGCCAGATTCTTGCTTAGCTGTACCAATCGTTTCGAGGGATGAAAGATCTTGGATTAAGCAAGAATCGGCAGTAAATTGTAGAGAACAGTTTGAAGACTGAACTAGTTTAGATATGGATATGAGATTAAATGTGAAAGCAGGAATATACAAGTGATGACTCGATATTTGCACATGTTTTCCCCTTTGTTTCTTGATCGTTTAAGCTTACATTATCGCTTCTTTGGCCTATTTTACGCTAGGTTGTGTTCCTTTGTCACATTTCAGGTCCTAGCACATAAAGTGAAGCGTAGGCGCAAGTTTCAAGTCAATCGGAGATCAATTGGCGACTCGGGGGAAGAAACTCGGGTATGACTTGAAGAAGATGGATTTCTACCTCTGTTTGTGACCAGATAATCATGTAATCTTGTCATGAGAAGAAAGAGGACGAGACTACGAGCGTCTGGGATCAAACGGAACCTGATTTGGAGTCCGAACGAGGGAGAAACGAAGAATCAAAGATAGGGGACCCGGAAATGCAAAATACCCGACCATAATACCCTACCGGGTATTTTTGGCCATCTGATAGGGGATTTTTGGCAGCATCAGAAGGCCCCCCGGTCGTGAACCAAAAATACCCGACCGGTACTAAAAGTACCCGACCGGTACTAAAAATACCCGACCGGGTATTTTTCCTTTTGCCCGAAAGAGTGACCCGGAGCATTTTGTTTATACCCGACCGGTTCCCAAAATACCCGACCGGGTATTCTGACCGGGGATCGCGAACGCAAGCTGTTAAAAGCCTGTTTTGTGCGTTTTTGCAAGGGAGAGCTGGGTTTTGGATCCCAAACACCCAATGGACGAACCAAAGAAAGAGAGGGCGATTTGAGGGCATTCTCGGAGTGGAATTGGAGGATTTCTTCGCCTTGGAAGCTCGAGGAACAAGCCCGAACTTGAAGACTGATCATCTGAAGATTCTTACTGCAGTCTCTCTCTTCTCTATGTAGTAACTTCCCTTCACTTAGGTTTTGAGGAACCCTAGCCATGCTTGTTTGATTGGATGATTGTATGAGTACTCTGACTTGATAATCTTGAGTTCATATTCAATCTATGCAAGTTTTCACGATTCAATTCTGCTTTAGTCGAGATTATTGATTCTGCTTTGATCCTATGAGAGCGAATACCTGATTAGGTCAATAGAGCACCATAGATTGATAGTATTGGATCGATTGCTTTAGTCGAGGGTTGATTCACTGCTTTGTATCGATTGAGAACCTCATTCGATAGAGGGAGTCTAGTTCAGAACGCCTTGATCGGTTGTTCTAGAGAAGGATACGTCCCTCTAGGCAATTGACTCAAGAGGGCCTTGTTCCTTTAGTCGAGACTCAAGGTCTAGTTAAGGATTCTTCGCATTGTGAATGAAAGTGAAACAGGTTAGAGATCATCAATCATTAATCTGGCTAGTGGCTAGGGGGAATCATACCTAAGTGAGTTCCCAACCTGTAATTAGATTAACTTTAACTGTAGTTTGCTAGAGTAGTTTTAGTTCTTTCATCTTAATCTGTTTTGCTAGATAATGAACTGAAGCTAAGTAATAGTAACTCTAGAGACCCGTGGATTCGATATTTATTACTTGAGCCACTATACTGCAGTCCCTTTCATTGGTTACACTTGGCCATTGTTAGGAGTTGTGTTTTAGCGAGTCAAGTTTTTGGCGCCGTTGCCGGGGATTTTCTAGAGTATTAGGAAAGGCAGAAGTTTGTTACTTTAGCATTTTTCTTTTGTTTTCCACCCTTGCTTTTCACTTGGGTGTTTTTGTTTTTGTTGGTGCAGATCTGAATCATGGATCCTCATGGCTTCTCCAATCATTGGGGGTATCCACCACCGTCCGAGTGGTATTACCCCGAGACCCCCTGGAGCAATCAAGGAGGAGAAGGCTATGGATCCGGGTTCCAGTACCAACCCCCTTTCTATGGAGAACAATCTGACCCCTGGGCATATCAAGAACAATCTCATTACCAAGAAGACTTTCTCCCACAACCAGAAGGGCCATCGGCGCTGGAGTTACCCATGGCGGCCTTCACGGGCCATTCTGCAGAGCCATGGTACACTCCACAGCCAGATCCAAACTATGAACTGAGGCTTCTCCTGGAGCAGTTTGTTCTGGACTCCGAGAGACGCAATCGCAAGATGGACCTCCTTTCCTCATCCTTTGCTCCTCCTAACTCTTCATCCTTCCGTGAATCAGAGGAGAATGTTTCGCACTCATCAAAGCAACCAGAGCGGGTTGAGCAAGTTTGTGCACAGCTTGCTCAAGATCACCCGTCTGCTACCATACTAGAGGAGGAGGAAGAAGAAGAAGGCTACAAGGACATTGTGGAACAAACAGAAGTTATCACGGAGAGCTCCCGTGAAGATCATGATCAAGAATGTCCTATCGTAGCCGACTACCCCTTTCCACATCCCACACTGAGTTTTGAAGAGGTGCGCATGAGTGAGGAGATGCAAGAAGATCTCATGAAAGAAATTGCTTGGCAACTTGCTCTCCAATCCGTGCTAGAAGAAGAAGAGCAAGAAAGGGTGCAGAAAGTAGTTGTGGGGGATGACGAAAGTGAAGCAGGAGGAGTTCTTGATCATTTCCCAGGGGTGATACCACATGAAGAAGAAAGGGAGGTTGAAGAAGCAATTGGCGTCCAGGCTGAGGACGGAGTTGAGGTGGAAGAGGCCTGCACCGGCCATGAGTTACATGTGATATCTCCACCAAACTTCGAGGAGCTGCTTGGCAAGGACCCATTTGCAGTGTCTCTTTGCCAAACCAAGGCCACGTCGACATCGGTCCCTCTTGGTGGATGCGATGGTGGTCAATCGATGTTGTCATATCTGGTTTGGGGTAATGAGACGAGAGAAGAGGAGAAGAGGTCTCGAGGGTGGAGACTTCGTCTGCATCAAGTGCACGAGCCTTCATCACCTGCTACACCACCTGCTTGTGACTTGAGACTCCACCTCATCGACGAGAACCTCAACTTCAAGGAGGTTCTAGCATGGACCGAAACTTAGGAGCCATCGTCCGGCTCACGACGTGAAAGAAGCGCTTGTTGGGAGGCAACCCAACCAGTCGGTTTGCATTTCTTTCTCTATTTCTCCTCGGTTGAGTCAGTTTTGTTATTTGATTTTAGAGTCAATAACTCAACCTTTGTGAGATTTTGTGTGGTGTTTGTGTTCTGATTACTCTCTCTTCCTGGAATGCACCGCCTGCCCCGTCCATCATCATTCACCCTTGATCTGGTAACTTCGTTCTACCCTCCTTATCTTTCCTCCATTGAGGACAATGTCGTGCTTAAGTGTGGGGGGGTGTTCGATTATTTATGCGGGTGAATGTTTGGCTGTTTGTGTGCTTGGAGCCTAGTCCACTGTCCAAATTTTGAAATTTGAGGGCTCCAAGTACGTGTTCCTTGCAATTGCCTGCTCAGTATGCTTTGAATTGACAGTCTTTATAGTAATATGCAACCTAGGGAGGTAGTGTAGCACTATGGAGGATGTTGATGCATTTAAGAAGTCTCATTGCTTCTTCATATTGTGTTGGTTGATTGAGTGAATTAGTGATCTTAGGACCCTTGAATTGTGTGGTGTTGTGGATTCTCTACCTGTCATGGACTCTTAGCTTGTATCATGTTTTGAGTTTAACAGGTGCTCGAAAATGTGCTTCAAAATAACGTCTCCCGTGCGAATAGGGCGAAAGTGTGTAAGGGGAGACGGGAATACGTTCCCAATTTCCACCTACTACCTCCAGCCCCCTTACATGTCTTTCCCCCGCACGAGGCTCGAGACATCCGCTCCTGGCATGGCCGGTAAGAGCAGGTTGGGACCCCTGAAATAAAAAAAAAATAACAGAAAACAAGCAAAACAGAAAAGAAAAGGGGTTCCAACCATCTTCAAGAAGAAAATAGAGCACCTTGAAAAATGTGAGTCCATGATCTTTTGTTTTTGAGAATCTCTTCATCCACAATTCATTTGTCCTCTCTTCACTATTTGCCTTGATGCCAACTCGATACTAGTGCTCTCGCCGAAGAAGCTATGAGATGACTTGTGTGTCGGTTGACCTCGTAAGTTGCTAAATGATCTAGGAAGTCATCTACCTACGATCTGGGGTGTTTGTTGCTATAGAGGTCTGGAGAGTTGCATTGGTTTGAGTTAGGTTTGCTTGGGGACAAGCAAACAGTTAAGTGTGGGGGGATTTGATGACTCGATATTTGCACATGTTTTCCCCTTTGTTTCTTGATCGTTTAAGCTTACATTATCGCTTCTTTGGCCTATTTTACGCTAGGTTGTGTTCCTTTGTCACATTTCAGGTCCTAGCACATAAAGTGAAGCGTAGGCGCAAGTTTCAAGTCAATCGGAGATCAATTGGCGACTCGGGGGAAGAAACTCGGGTATGACTTGAAGAAGATGGATTTCTACCTCAGTTTGTGACCAGATAATCATGTAATCTTGTCATGAGAAGAAAGAGGACGAGACTACGAGCGTCTGGGATCAAACGGAACCTGATTTGGAGTCCGAACGAGGGAGAAACGAAGAATCAAAGATAGGGGACCCGGAAATGCAAAATACCCGACCATAATACCCTACCGGGTATTTTTGGCCATCTGATAGGGGATTTTTGGCAGCATCAGAAGGCCCCCCGGTCGTGAACTAAAAATACCCGACCGGTACTGACACGCTAAAACAGAACACCTAACAATGGCCAAGTGTAACCAATGAAAGGGACTGCAGTATAGTGGCACAAGTAATAAATATCGAATCCACGGGTCTCTAGAGTTACTATTACTCAGCTTTTGTTCATTATCTAGCAAACTAGATTAAGGATTGATTTACTAAACTCCTCTACTAACTACTCTACTAATTACAAGTTGGGAACTCACTTAGGTATGATTCCCCCTAGCTCCTCAATTAAGTCCAAGTTGCAATTACCTTTGGTTGTTCTACTGTTGATTAAACTGCGGAAGATCCGAAATTAGCTTGGAATCTCTTAAGCTGACCAAGCCCTCTCAAACAGAATACCCGACAGACGACTAGCCTTCACCGGGATAGACTGCTAAGGCGATTCACACAGATCTCCACTACTGGAATGAATTCCAGTACAAAGCAGTAAATTGATTGACTCTCGCACAACCAATTCACCACTATCAATCAAGGAAGCTCTCTTAACCTAATCAGATTCTATCTATCATAGGTTAAAGCAGAAATCAAGAGAATTTGATCAAGATTCAATTGACTCAATAAATCATGCCTCAATCGATTATAATCAAACAATAAAGCATCCAAAACTTCATACAAGAAAGATCCTAACTCATGGAACTAGGGTTCCTCAAAACCTAAGTGAAGGGAAGTTACTCCATAGAGAAGAGAGAGACTGCAGAAATCTGATCTAGATCTTCAATCTCCATCTCCAAGCTTGATTCCTGAGCTCCAATGGCAAAGAAATCCTCCAAAATAGCTCCAAGAATGTTCCCAAGTCGCTCTCTCTCTCTAGGGTTCGTCCCTTGGGTGTTTGGGATCCAAAACCCAGCTCTCCTCCTCTCCTTTCGCTGAAAATCGGGTTTTAAACAACAATTCCCGACCCGCACGGCCAGGGTGCACGACCGTGCGCCTCCCTGGTCTGCCCGTGCACCTTGCTCAGCCTCTGTTTAATGCTTCGTTTCTCCCTCGTCCGGACTCCGAATCAGTCGTCGTTTGATCCCAGACGCTCGTAGTCTCGTCCTCTTTCGTTTCATAACAAGCTTGCATGATTCTCTGTCCATAAAAGTGAGGTAGAAATCCATTCTTCTTCAGGTCATGCCCGAGTGTCTTCTCCCAAATCGTCAATTGATCTCTGATTGACTTGAAACTTGTGCCTATGCTTCACTTTATGTGCTAGGACCTGAAATGTGACAAAGGAACACAACCTAGCGTAAAATCGATCAAAGACACGGTAATTCAAGCTCAAACAATCAAGAAACAAAAGGGGAAAACATGTGCAAATACCGAGTCATCAAATCCCCCCACACTTAACTGTTTGCTTGTCCCCAAGCAAACCTAACTCAAACCAATGCAACTCTCCAGACCTCTATAGCAACAAACAACCTCGATCGTAGGTAGCGGACTTCCTAGATCATTTAGCAGCTTACGAGGTCAACCGACGCACAAGTCATCTCATAGCCTCTTCGGCGAGAACGCTAGTCTCGAGTCGGCATCATGGCAAATAGTGAACAGAGGACAAATGAATCGTGGATGAAGAGACTCTCAAAAACAAAAGATCATGGACTCACATTTTTCAAGGTGCTCGATTTTCTTTTTGGAGATGGTTGGAACCCCTTTTCTTCCTTCTTTTTACTTGTTTTTCTCTTTTCTTTTCAAGGGTTCCAACCTGTTTTTGCAGAAAACGGGGGCTCCCACCTAGCAAAGGTTTTGCGGGAGCCCGGCTCTTACCGGCCATGCCAGGAGCAGTTGTCTCGAGCCTCGTGCGGGGGAAGGACATGTAAGGGGGCTGGAGGTAGTAGGTGGAAATTGGGAACGGATTCCCGTCTCCCCTTACACACTTTCGCCCTATTCGCACGGGAGACGTCATTTTAAAGCACATTTTCGAGCACCTGTTATTTTCAAAACATGATACACGAGTCCATGACAGGCAGAGAGTCCACAACACCACACAATTCAAGGGTCCTAAGATCACTAATTCACTCAATCAACCAACACACTATGAAGAAGAAATGAGACTTCTTAAATGCATCAACATCCTCCATAGTGCTACACTACCTCCCTAGGTTGCAAACCACTACAGAGACTGTCAATTCAAAGCATACTGAGCAGGTAATTGCAAGGAACACGTACTTGGAGCCCTCAAATTTAAAAATTTGGACAGTGGACTAGGCTCCAAGCACACAAACAGCCAAACATTCACCCGCATACATAATCGAACACCCCCCCACACTTAAGCACGACATTGTCCTCAATGGAGGAAAGATAAGGAGGGTAGAACGAAGTTACCAGATCAAGGTGAATGATGATGGACGGGGCAGGCGGTGCATTCCAGGAAGAGAGAGTAATCAGAACACAAACACCACACAAAATCTCACAAGGGTTGAGCTATTGACTCTAAAACCAAATAACAAAACTGACTCAACCGAGGAGAAATAGAGAAAGAAATGCAAACCGACTGGTTGGGTTGCCTCCCAACAAGCGCTTCTTTCACATCGTGAGCCGGACGATGGCTCCTAAGTTTCGGTCCATGCTAGAACCTCCTTGAAGTTGAGGTTCTCATCTATGAGGTGGAGTCTCAAGTCACGAGCATGCGGTATGACAGGTGATGGAAGCTCGTGCACTTGATGCAGATGAAGTCTCCACCCTCGAGACCTCTTCTTCTCTTCTCTCGTCTCATTGCCCCAAACCAGATATGACAACATCGATTGACCACCATCGCGTCCACCAAGAGGGACCGATGTCGAAGTGGCCTTGGTCTGGCAAAGAGACACTGCAAATGGGTCCTTGCTAAGTAGTTCCTCGACGTTTGGTGGAGATATCACATGCAACTCGTGGCCGGTGCAGGCCTCTTCCACCTCAACTTCGTCCTCAGCCTGGACGCCAATTGCTTCGTCAACCTCCCTTCCTTGTTCATATGGTATCACCCCTGGGAAATGATCAAGAACTCCTCCTGCTTCACTTTCGTCATCCTCCACAACTTCTTTCTGAAACCTTTCTTGCTCTTCGTCTTCTAGCACGGATTGGAGAGCAAGTTGCCAAGCAATTTCTTTCATGAGATTTTCTTGCATCTCCTCACTCATGCCCGCCTCTTCAAAGCTCAGTTTGGGATGTGGGAAGGTGTGGTCGGCTACGATAGGACATTCTTGATCATGATCTTCACGGGAGCTCTCCGTGATAACTTCTGTTTGCTCCACAATGTCCTTGTAGCCTTTGTCTTCCTCGTCCTCTTCTAGTATGATAGCAGAAGGGTGATCTTGAGCAGGTTGTGCATAAGCTTTCTCAAGATCCTCGAGGCTCTTCTTTATGCTCAGGAGGGTCTCCTCTGTTTCACGGTAGGAGAACCCAGTTTGGGCATTGTCTGGGATATCCATCTTTGGAAAGGATGTCTCAGGTACTCGAGCAATCTGGTCCACGAGAAGCCTCAAGTGATAGTTTGGATCTGGCTGATGGAGGAATTCTTCTTGATAAGGAGATTGTTCTTGAAATACCCAGGGGTCTGATTGTTCTTCGTAGGATGGGGGTTGGTACTGAAACCCGAATCCATAGTCTTCTCCTCCTTGATTTCTCCAGGGGGTCTCGGGGTAATACCACTCGGATGGTGGTGGATACCCCCAATGGTTGGAGAAGCCATGAGGATCCATGATTCAGATCTGCACCAACAAAAACAAAAAACACCCAAGTGAAAAGCAAGGGTGGAAAAGAAAAGAAAAACGCTAAAGTAACAAACTTCTGCCTTTCCTAATAATCTAGAAAGTCCCCGGCAACGGCGCCAAAAACTTGACACGCTAAAACAGAACACCTAACAATGGCCAAGTGTAACCAATGAAAGGGACTGCAGTATAGTGGCACAAGTAATAAATATCGAATCCACGGGTCTCTAGAGTTACTATTACTCAGCTTCAGTTCATTATCTAGCAAACTAGATTAAGGATTGATTTACTAAACTCCTCTACTAACTACTCTACTAATTACAAGTTGGGAACTCACTTAGGTATGATTCCCCCTAGCTCCTCAATTAAGTCCAAGTTGCCATTACCTTTGGTTGTTCTACTGTTGATTAAACTGCGGAAGATCCGAAATTAGCTTGGAATCTCTTAAGCTGACCAAGCCCTCTCAAACAGAATACCCGACAGACGACTAGCCTTCACCGGGATAGACTGCTAAGGCGATTCACACAGATCTCCACTACTGGAATGAATTCCAGTACAAAGCAGTAAATTGATTGACTCTCGCACAACCAATTCACCACTATCAATCAAGGAAGCTCTCTTAACCTAATCAGATTCTATCTATCATAGGTTAAAGCAGAAATCAAGAGAATTTGATCAAGATTCAATTGACTCAATAAATCATGCCTCAATCGATTATAATCAAACAATAAAGCATCCAAAACTTCATACAAGAAAGATCCTAACTCATGGAACTAGGGTTCCTCAAAACCTAAGTGAAGGGAAGTTAATCCATAGAGAAGAGAGAGACTGCAGAAATCTGATCTAGATCTTCAATCTCCATCTCCAAGCTTGATTCCTGAGCTCCAATGGCAAAGAAATCCTCCAAAATAGCTCCAAGAATGTTCCCAAGTCGCTCTCTCTCTCTAGGGTTCGTCCCTTGGGTGTTTGGGATCCAAAACCCAGCTCTCCTCCTCTCCTTTCGCTGAAAATCGGGTTTTAAACAACAATTCCCGACCCGCACGGCCAGGGTGCACGACCGTGCGCCTCCCTGGTCTGCCCGTGCACCTTGCTCAGCCTCTGTTTAATGCTTCGTTTCTCCCTCGTCCGGACTCCGAATCAGTCGTCGTTTGATCCCAGACGCTCGTAGTCTCGTCCTCTTTCGTTTCATAACAAGCTTGCATGATTCTCTGTCCATAAAAGTGAGGTAGAAATCCATTCTTCTTCAGGTCATGCCCGAGTGTCTTCTCCCAAATCGTCAATTGATCTCTGATTGACTTGAAAC